CTGCCTGGCCTGCTGGTTTCCTCCAGCTCCACACCTGGTTATCTCAGACTCCAGCATCAGCAGTACTTACTATCCCTCATTTTGTCTAACATTTTGTGTACAATAAATTTGTTTTGTTAACAACATGAAATCAAATGGAGTAGCTCTATTTGTTAAAATGAGGTGTTTGTATATCTTTTCAAATATTAAAGGTCCCTAACATATTGGAACGCAATATATTTAAAATAAAGTTTGATTTCGAGATGTCAACATTCAAAATGTCAGCCACAGCAGTTATTCTTTTAAGTAATAATGAGTACCATCTCAGTACTGTCACAGGTTTGGCAAAGATTACTGTTCCCTCAGCTTACATCTGGATTATGAGACTTTCAGTTAGATAGGCACTGCTAAAATTCCATTTAATGAAGCAGAATATTGTAATTCTTCTTCCAAGATAAAAGGTAATTGAAGGGTCTGGTGATATTTAATTCATTTTGGACAGGTTGTTGCATTGTTGATTCAAGTCTCTTCAAAACTTTTTGATTTATTCTGGTTACTAAGAACTTTATATTTATAATTAGAATGAGCAGGAGAAATGCATGCAGCTTCTCAGCCCAGATGTCTGGAGATCATTACACAATTGATGTTGGCTAATGACAGAACTACTGCATGTCCCTGGAGGATAATGTTGATGTCTGAGAATGAGAGACCAGTCCACATTCTACTGAGGCAAAACAGTGAAACGGAACTAAATACATTTCAAAAGAGCCTGTCATTTTAAGTGACAATTGCATATCCCATAATCACTTCCTTGTTGGGATCAATATGAATATTGGTATAAGGCTATAAGTAGCCAAATTATCTAGTAACATAAATAACAAAAAATATGAGTAGAAATATTGTGATATGTATAATCTTCTCTACTTGTTTGTTGTTGAATCACTACTTCAAATTAGATGGTTCTCTTGTAGATCTACTTTCATTTCTAGCAGGATATCTACTCTAGTTGTGATATAATACGGAGATGTAGAGCAACATGCGCTAATCAAAATAAGACTTGCCATCAGTAAAAGAGACAAACTCCATACTTTATTGTTTTAGACCTTTCTTTCCAATTATCAAAATTCCAATTTAAAATAAAACATCAATTTGTACATTTAAGACAATAATAAGCTTTTGAGGTTTGTATTATATTTCCAAAATAATTTCAATTTGCCCTTCTGGTCTAAATAATTGATTCTAAGTAATACTCCCAGCTAAACTATAATATGTGCGTTTTACAGATCATGCCATTTCCACCCTCCCTCTCTCTCCCCGCCCCCCCACCTCTCCCTCTCTCCCCCCTCTCCTCCCCCCCAAGTGATAGCAAGCTCCCACCGGCTTACCTCTATTATCTTTTATGATTCCCTATTGCAGGAATATTAGTTCAATGCACTGTACTAAAATAGTAGGCATTACCACAAAGTGCCGTAAAATTGGAATTTGCAAGTTGTTACGTCTTTAGCTAGTTTACAGTATCACTCAAGACACCTTAATTAGATTGCTCAGAGATAATAGGAACTGCCGATGCTGGAGTCTGAGATAACAAGGTGTGGAGCTGGAGGAACACAGCAGGCCAGGCAGCAGAGGAGCAAGAAAGCTGACGTTTCAGGTCTGGACGTTTCTTCAGAAATGGGGGAGGGGCAGGGGGCTCTGAAATAAATAGAGGAAGGGGCAGTGATAGAAGATGGATAGTGGAGCAGATAGGTGGGAGAGAAGACAGACAGGACAAGGAGGCAGGGATGAAGCTAGTAAAGGTGAATGTAGGTAGGAAGTAGGGGTGGGGGGTTGGTCAGTGAGGTGCGGATAGGTGGAAGAGAAGACAGACAGGTCAAGGAGGCAGGGATGAGAGGGTTCGCCCCCCCACCTCCCCCACTCTATTTATTTCAGACACCCCCTTCCCCTGCCCCATTTCTGAAGAAGGGTCCAGACCCGAAACGTCAGCTTTCCTGCTCCTCTGATGCTGCCTGGCCTCTGTGTTCCTCCAGCTTTTAATTCGATTGCTACCTTTTATAATGCATGATTAAACTTTTCCGCCTACATTCCCAAACAAAATAGCTCTCAACAAGTCTTCCACATTTGAGTAAAAGAAAACACAGCTTCAAAGAAAAAAAAAGGGGTGGGAAATGGGGAAGAAATATTTTTGAATCCTTACCCTCTCCTCTGGAGTGGCACCATCTTCAGCACATTGGGGCTCTGCTTGTATGTCCCTAAGAGCTGGAAGACATTTTGTGTTGGTCGGCTCTCGGTTTAAAGTTGTATAGCCTATGTGTTCATAGATTGGATTAATCGTCATCTTGGCAATGTATTCTGCAGCCTTAGTCTCAATGTATAATGTAATTAATCCGTCTGTTACCAGGTCATGGATTGACTCAAACCGTTTTTCTCCAACAAAGTGTTTCCCATCATAGTACAGACGAAAATTTCTGGTCTGAGTTCCAAACCTGTCTCAATTGAGAACAGAAATTAGAACAAAGTGAACAAAGCAGAATTTCTTTGTGCCCCAAACTTCAAGCTTTCAAAGCATTCATTGTGCACTGTACCATAATAGCAATGTAAAACTACAGTACACAGATAGCTAGGGAATTTTAAGGAAAATGGAAGCTGATCGCCAGACCACTGTTTGCCCTTAGTAAACTACGGTTGCAGTACATTTTTCTTGGTCTTCTTTAAGCCTTTGAAACACTAAGCTACAGCTGTGAAGAACTTCAAAAATACTGAGAATACAAGAGAATTTTAGGATTTATATTACTATATATTAGTTTCTGGTACAGTTTTGCCTTGTAAATATAGTGTCCTCCATGAACACATCAAACCATTGAGGTTGTTGACTTGCTCGCCGAGCTGGCTAGTTCTCATTCAGACATTTCGTCCCCATGCTAGGTGACATCATCAGTGGAGCCTCCAACGAAGCAATGTTATTCTACTCTGCTTGGAATTTATACTGTCCGGTCCATTATGGTGAGTACTGTCATTTCCAGTTTACCTATATGGATTTGTATACGGCACATCACAAAGCTCAGAAATCAGTTGAGTTACTGAGTTTGGTGCACAAAGTGCCTATACATTGCAACAGCTTCAAACAGTGTTGCAAGCAAAACATTGTTTGCAGTATGTAGCTAAGGAAATCTTGTCCTCTGAATTTTGCAAATTCCATGCTCAAGGATAAATATTTTACCATATTTCTTTTATTTAGAAAGACAGTATATCACTATTGTGAAATATAAACAGCAGGGAATCTCAAACAATTTTATAAGGTAGCTCAAATACAATAGCAATGACAGGGTAGATGCTGTAACATGCAGAGACTGCTGGACATCAATGTGATCCAGAACAAACACATCTGTAGTAAATATTTTTAGGTTGAGGAACTTTGGATCCAAATTGAAGAGCTAGAGACTGAGCTGTAGACATTGAGCCACGTCATGGAAGGGGAAAATTACCTAGATACTGATCCAAAAAGTGGTCACACCTTCTATCATCCTCAGACTCAGAAGGGTTAAAATTTAGGAGCTTTGGCCCCGGCCCCGGCCCCGGCCCCTGCCCCTACCCCTATAATTGTCCAACAGTTACAAAGGTTCTTGAAAGCTATGCAGATGAGTGTAGAGAGATAGTAGGAACTGCAGATGCTGGAGAGTCTGAGATAACAAGGTGTAGAGCTGGACGAACACAGCAGGCCAAGCAAGCCTTCCTGCTCCTCGGATGCTGCTTGGCCTGCTGTGTTCATCCAGCTCTACACCTTGTTATCTCAGATGAGTGTAGAGACTGCAGGGAAAACTGAGCAATCTAATTACAGCACCTTGGTACAAAGAACCAGATAACCATTCTAGAAGGGGGACGAAATAGGAACACAACTGTGAGGGGGGACAGTTTAGGTACAGGGATAGATACTGTCCTCTTCAGTCACGAGCAAGAGTCATGAAGACTATGTTGCCTGCCCAGTGCCAGGTTCAAGGATCTTCCCTCAGGGCTGAAAATGAACAGGGAGAGGGAGGGGAACACTACAGTAGTCTTAGTGCACATTGGTAAGACTAGAATGAAGGTTTTGCTGAAAGATTTTAAACTGAGAACAGTTAACTTAAAAAGCAGAATTGCCAAAGGTATAATCTCTGAATAACACACAAGCCACAGGCAAGCTGGAATAGGGTAAAGTCAAAAAGTTAAATGTGTGGCTCAAAGATTGGTGTGGGTGGAACTGATTTCAGTTTGTGCTACACTGGCACCAGCCGTAGAAGTGAGCTGCCGTGCTGGGCTTCACATGAACCACGCTGGGACCTGTGAACTGGCAAATTGAATAACTTTCTCTGTAGAGGGGGCTAGGTCAGAACTCTGATGACACCACATTGTAGTCCAACAGGTTTATTTGAAATCATAAGCTTTCAGGTGAAGCGAGAGAGAAGCACACAGACGTAGAATTTATAGGCAGAGAGATCAAAAGATCATAGAAATAGCGTGAACGGAGTGTCAAATAATGAGTCTCTGCAGGTGATCAAAAGTGTCAGACTGAGAGAGTAAAGTTTCGGCAGCTAAATAAGAAGCAAGGGCTGACCTATAATCCGTTTAAATGAGGCAGAGAGATAATTACAAAAAATTGAAAATAAGGTGGTGCTGGAGACAAACCAAACAACTGGAATAACATGGTGGGTACAAGTTGCATGCCGAGGGTCTAACCAAAGTAATAAGTAATCCAAAACTGTACAAACAGTTGAAAGCTTGAGTACAGATGATGATTGTCTACAATTAATACTTGTACAAATTACACCATTTGATTTCAAATGATGCACTGATACATTTGGAGTACCACAGAACATAGTAAATCAATGTCAATATTTTCCAGTAGGGCTAGCAGCAGAATAGAATTATCACCAGATTAAATGGAAACCGAAAGAACTGCGGGTGCTGTAAATCAGGAGCAAAAAAAAAAAAAAAAAAAAAAAAAAAAAAAAAAAAAAAAAAAAAAATTGCTGGAAAAGCTCAGCAGGCCGTTCCTCAGTTCTGAGCAAGCGTCACCGGACCCGAAACGTTAACTCTGTTTTCTCCTTCACAGATGCTGCCAGACCTGCTGAGCTTTTCCAGCAACTTTGTTTTTGTGCCTGATTAAATGGAATTGATTTTGAACAAATCTAGCAACTCAAACTGGGCATCCATCAGGAGTTTGGGGTTTTCAGCTGCGGAATTGCATTCAAACACAATTTCATAGAATCCCTACAGTGTGGAAACAGGCCCTTCGGCCCAACAAGTCCACACCAACCCTCAGAGCATCCCACAGACCCATCCCCCTATAACCCACCTAATCTACACATCCCTGAACACTACGGGCAATTTAGCAACCTAGCCTGCACATCTTCGGACTGTGGGAGGAAACTGGAGCACCCAGAGGAAACCCACGCAGACACGGGAAAAATGTGCAAACTCCAAACAGACAGTCGCCCGAGGGTGGAATCGAACCCAGGTCCCTGGCGCTGTGTGGCAGCAGTGCTAAACACTGTGCCACCGTGCACAATTTGTAAGCAGTAAATATAAAAATGTTATGCATCAAGACTCAGATCTTGCTGAGCTATGGAGAATCCTAGAACCAGATATGGACGTCCTACACCCACTTCCAACATATTTCAATACCCCATTAAGGGAAAGGGGAGAGGGCATGACCCTTCTTGTTTTCTGCTCGGATCCACTGTCAGTGCACCGACTCATGAGCATCTGCAACCAGTTTGAACTGGCCTTAGAAGCCAAGGTAAATCAAGGCAGGAGTGAGGCCTTCTTCGTTGGAACTGGGCCGACTGATCCTTTATCTTCTTCACCATCAGGACAGATTACCTGAAGGCCCTGAGTATTTGGTTCGGACAGGCTGGGACATGCCCCAAAACATGGGAGGAGTGTATTACCGAGATGAGGCAGAAACTGGGCAGATGGGAGCACTGTTCCCTCTCCATTGTGGGTACAAACCTGGTCATCAGGTGTGAGGTATTCTTGCTGTTGTTATAGGTGACCCAAGTCCATTCCCTAAACCTGCGTTGCTGCAGTTACGCGAGGCATCTTCTGTTTCATTTGGAAGTCAAAGATGGACTAGGTCCAAAGGGACACCAAGTATAAAACACTGGACAAAGTGGGGTAGAATTGTACCCAATGCCACCCTCGTCTTGATGGCCATCTTGGTGTGTTGCTGCATTAAGCGCTGTGTTAACCCTCGCTACACAAACACCAAGTTTCACTGCTTACTGAGGTTCTACCTGCCCCCGATATTGTGAAGGATGGTATGTACTGATTGCCACTGAATGCTCCAAGTAGTTGGAGCATCCCATATCACCTGTCCCTTGTGGAGAAATTTGCAAAGAATAATATCCTTGACCACAAGTCCATCAGGCAGTGGTCAACACAGAATCCTCAAGACCCTTTGGGAAAAGGAGAGGGTTAATCATGTCGGGTGGTTCCTGTGCAGATTATCAAAGAGATTTGGAAAAACAAAAACCGAAAGAACTGTGGATACTGTAAATCAGGAACAAAACAGAAGTTGCTGGAAAAACTCAGCAGGTCTGGCAGCAACTGTGAAGAAAAAAAAAAAATCAAAGAGTTACTGTTTCTGGTCCGGTGATCCTAGGATCACCGGACACAAAACATTAACTCTGATTTTATTTCTTCACAGATGCTGCCAGACCTGCTGAGTTTTCCCAGCAACTTTTGTAATTTGGCGAAATTCTCATCACCAGAACTTTCCAGCAAGCACCAAGACATTGCTCGTCAGTTGGGGAGAAGGGCACTACTTTTAAGAACCTACATGCATGCCTGGACTCTCTGCACCACTGCACACTGCCCTTGAAGTGGTTGCGGGGGGTTGAGACTGTTCCACATCTTCCGGAATGCGGCTATGCAAAGGAAGTCGGGAGACAGATGCAGTGGTTTTTGTCAAGGTTCATCTTGAGAGCAGCTCTGTGATGCAGGACTCCATGCTCTACAGTCTGTTCTCTGGCACGCACACGGAGACAAACATCAACAGTGCCTGGTAGACCATCTACTTGGTGAACGATGCTCTTTGGTCTGGGAAAAACTTGCTGGTCTTCCAGTTGAAAGAGTTGATCCCAACTGAGTATTGTGGACTGGCACATTCCAAGGTCCAGAGCTATGTGCCAAGGGGCACACTAAAGCTTGGGGTAACTGTCGCCAAGTGCAGTGGGGAAAGACCACCATCTAAGGTCTTTCTTAGAAAGTATGATGGAGGTCCATTAAGTTAATCGGTTCTTCCCGATGACTCAGATACATGTAAATAGTTCCCAATACTTAGCATAATTAAGAAATGCCTTTGGATTAGTTGCATTTAATCGACACAGTCAAACTCCAATGTTTGATTTCTTCTCTCTATGCAAAAACTGTATAGAACTAAACTGCTTTAATAACTGTGTATGTCCATAAAGATTTCCTTAATGAATAGAATATATTTTTGCAAAAC